AAAAAAAAATAATTAAAATAATAATTGGTAAAAGATCAGTTATGTTTAGGTGTGTTTTAGTACGTGTCTCTCAAATTCCAAAACGTTTCGCCTAATTCGAGTTCCAAAACGTTCCATTATCACGATTACGTTATTTTTGTTTTTCTTCTCAATCAACTCAATTTTCATACTTTTCCCCTTTTCGACTCAATTCGACTCGCATCATCCATATCTATACTATATCCTTATGCGCACACGCACGTTCGCCTGCTCGCTTGCTCGCTCACGCTCTGCATCGTCTCAACGTATGTAGTTAGCGTGCGCTCACAAAAGCCTTACTCACAACTTTTTTCTCAATGCTGTAATGAAAAAAAGAGGGAGAGAGAGGGGGAAGGAGAGCATACGTGTAGCGGAGAGAACGTTGACGGAGAGCAAGGCAAAGGCATTTTAAGGCATTTGTATTTATGAATGAGTGTGTAAATATATGAGAATGAATGAGAGATGGATGGAGTGGTGGAGTGAAATTCCATATTAGTATCCATGCTCCTCATGTTCGTATTCGCCAAATGATTCCACCTCATCATGACCACCGAAGTCGTAGCTCACCTCATGACCACCAAAATCGTGGCTCTCCTCGTGATGGTACTCCTCATGATGGTGAACGGGCTCGTGTTCCTTGATTTCCTTGTGAACGAAAACGGGTTCCTTGTAGGAGATGTGTTTCTCATGGTATTCAGGTACGTGTTTCTCAATGTGAACGGGCACTGGTTTCTCAACGGGCACCTTGACTGGGTAGGGCACATGTTTTTCGACCTTGACTGGAATTTCCTTGACAACTGGGTATGGGGCGGGCACATGTACTTTCACTTCGTATGGTACTGGTTTTTCAACATGCACTGGCACGGGGTTATCATAGGGTACATGCACTGGCACGGGCACCTTCTTGATCACTGGCACTGGTACTGGTTTCTCAACATGGTATGGTACTGGTTTCTCAACATGATACGGCACTGGCTTATCGACATGCACCTTGACGGGGTAATGTACAACCTTCTCAACTGGGTATGGTTTTTCGACGGGCACATGCACCTTCACTGGGTAGTGTACTTTCTTCTCAACTGGATAAGGTGCGGGTACGTGCACTTTTACGGGCACATGCACCTTCTTTTCAACTGGATAGGGGGCGGGCACATAAACTTTCACGGGCACTGGACGATCGTAGTGCACATGCACTGGGTAGGGTATCTTCTTTTCAACTGGATAAGGTGCGGGTACTTCATGTGGCACCTTGACGATTTCCTTCACCTCATAAGGTATATGCTTGACCACGGGATATGGTTTGGGCACTTTCACCTTAATCGGTACAGGTATGTGCTTCTCGACGGGCACATGCACATGCTTCTCGACGGGATAAGGTTCGGGTATTTTCTTGATAATGGTCAATGTTTTTTCCTCGTGAATGGGATGATGGTACTCATGGTGGTAGTCCTCGAAATGATGTAGGCCACGTTTGGTTTTGGTGCTTTCGCTATCGTCGGCGGCAGCAGCGGCGGAGGATTCCTTGGCACCTTCTTTCGCGGACTCAGCAGATTTGGTTTCGACAGCTTTCTCCTCTTCGGCGCGCGTGCTGATGGCCAGCAGCAACACCAGGGCAAGCAATGATGCTGAACGCTGTTATAGGGAGAAAAAATAGAGCCGGAGGGAGAATAAAGAGAGATAGAGAAATGAAAATAGGGAAGAGAGAGAGAGAGAAATAATATGGGATATAGAGAGAGTGAGCGCAATATGGAGAAGGATAAGAAGAAAGAGGCAAAACATTAAGGAGCATTAGTGGGAATGGGTTTTAGGAATGGGAAAATATGCGTACGAATTTAATCGGAAACGCAGGAAATTGGGAAATATTTAAGAATTGGACGTAGTGTGAAACATTGAAGCGCAGAAAATGAAGATTTTTTTTGGAAAACAATGAAAAAGAAACAAAGCTTTGTGTTAAAAAATTTTGGATACAAATCATTTTATATATTCAGAAAACAGTAAGTGTGAATCTGGCCTTTTAGGTTTAAAGAAAAACTCAGTTTTCGGTTAGAAGAAAAGAACACTATTTTTGGAGTTCAGAGAAAGTTTTTAGCTTCTTAATAAAACTTTCAAGGAAAAATTAAATTTTAAACTTGTAAAAAATTGGAGCAACACCTTTTTTAAACTCATTATAGAAAACCAAGTGTTTGAATCAAATCTTCTCATTAAAAAAATAGTGTTAGATTTTTTTTTATGCTACTTTTTAGTTATATTTTTTGTTTTTAAATTTTAATCTCAATTTTTAAGACGAACATGAAGAGCAAATACGCTCGTAAAATTTTTGGTAAAGACATGTCAAGAATATTAATTTTTTGGATCGAAATTTCGCTTTAAAAAAAGTTTTAAAAATGATTTTCGTCCTTTTGAAAAATACTATGAAAAAAAATTTAAGAGCAAGTA